TGTTGATTTTTTCGTGTATTGCTCATCCTATTTGCTACTCGAGGCTCTGAAGTTGTAAGCGGAACGATGGACAAACGGACATCTTGCAATAAAGCAATACGAATATCATGATGATTATAATAATAATGATGATTTTATACCACTTTGCAATGAAAGCATCATAGATTCTAAATACCCAGGATACCGTTATCGCTGCTTCAAAAAACCCTCGGTCAAGTAAGCATTTTCTAATTAATTGTCAGTTGCACAACGGACCATGTGAGTGGAACGCACCCTAGATGATGTACACCGCGGAGGTGGAGCAATGAGATCCTGTGATGTAACAGTCTGAGATCAGACTGTTACATCACAGGATCGTGTGCGGTGGCGGGAATCCAGCAGTGGATTGACCATGGCTGATGATGATGATGATGTTGATGACGCTGAGTATAACGATGACAACGATCGTGTGCCAAATTCAGACAGCCCAACTGGGGCAGTCGGTCTCATCATCAGCATCTCGTTTTCGAAGCATCGAAAATCCCCAGGCGCACCGACACCGGCGGCCGCGTGCGTCACCTGCCAGTGAACTTTGTGCATTATTGATGGCCACGAAATGCGTTCCCAAATCCCACACTTGAAGGCAGAGCCGCACACGTGCACTCGCTCCTGCCTTTAATATTCCTCCCTTTGCCCTCGTGCTGTACTGGAGAGCCGCGCGGCTGCCTAATTGGCTGTGCTGGCACCAGCAGCTGGGGGCGGGGAGGCGATGGGGGTGGGGCAGTTTTTGAGTTTGCATTTATTAGGGGGGCAGTGTGGGGTGGGGGGTGGTGGGCTGGAGTTGCCCACGTGGGGTCGAGTGGCTCCCCTGAGCACGTGCTCCGAGCGTGCTCACGTCCGCTCACCACGCGGCAACAAAGCCGCTCTTGGGCAAAGAGCTCTCCACTCAACACACACCGTAGGTGTGCGTGTCTATATCTATGTACGTGTGTCTTGTATGTAAATGAGTACCAGATGTGTGTAAACATCGCCACTAGGCAGACAAAGGCGGCCGGGCGTGGTGCTGGCCATTCACCCCCTCGTGTGCTGTTCTGGTCTTCATAGGTGCTCTCTTACAGCACTTGCCCCAACGATCTGTTCAGGTCATATGGGAGATCTTTGTCTTTGTGTCTTTGGAGTGGTTGTGAAGTGATTTGCGCATCACGCTAACATCGGTACCGAGTAATATCTGAACTTGTCCTGGGCTGTCCCTAGCATGACTCAGTTTTAAATGAATATCTGGTGCAGTGTGTAAACATGACCACTGGTTAAAACGAGGCACGGTGCTGACCACACCACCACCTCATGCTCCATGCCGTCCTTAATAGGTGCTCGCTAACAGCACTTGCCCCAGCAGTCTGTGTAGGCTACAGGGGCAATCTAGTATATGTCCTCAGGCAGCCACGGCATATGGCGATCAGGAATTTATGTATTTCCAAAAAGAAATACCTACTTTATTTATACGTATTTCTTTTTTTCTATTTTGCACTCCTATCGTTGTCTGTATTGTTTGTTGTTGTAGCTGGCTGACCGGTCCCTATGAAGAGCTTCATATGCTCATTGGATTCCTCCTGCTCCAGTGGAAATAAAGATTCTCATTGTGAAGTGCCGACGGAGGGGGAGAGCGTTTGTGAAGCTTCCCCCGGCGCACCGTGCACGCGTCTACCTCGTGACGTGCAGATCCGAGCCGTGTGCCTCCTCCGCACGTGTCCCGTCCGTCTGCCCGTCTGCACAGACCCCGAGGACACGGCGCGAGTGCGGGAGCTGGTGACGGAGCTGCTGTACGGACCCGCGCGAGCGCCTCCCCTCGGCGACAAGAGCGACGTGCCAGCCTCAGCGCCGTCATCCCAGCCGTCGGAGCGAGACGCGTAAAGCAACTCGCTCCCGTGTGGGCCCGCGTCCGTGTGGGCCCCGTCCGTGTGGGCCCCGTCCGTGTGGGCCCCGTCCGTGTGGGCCCCGTCCGTGTGCAAACGGCGAGACGCAGACCCCCCTGTGAGCAGAAGCATGTGCTGATGCCCAGAAGCCTTCCTGACAACAACCACCACCGGGATTTGGTTGTGTGTCCGGAGTGCAGTGCACTGGCCACTGGATTGACGACCGCCACCGTGGTTTGTCTTTCCCAGTGTTCTGAGCACAGGCTACTTGGGCCTGTTTGTCCCCGGGGCTCCTCATTCATTTTCCTGCCACCACCTGGTGAGATTGTGCACGGAGCTGCCGCAGCGTGCCACACTGCAACCGGCATGCTGAATTAAAAGTTGTAAAAAGTTTACAGATTGTTTCCTTGTACGGGAGTCTGGGCAGTTGTGATGAATCTCGTTTGGTTGAATGCGGGCTTTGAGGCGACGACGAGGAAAGTTGGAGGGCGAGTAACAATCGGGTTCCAGTATAAGTAATGAGCGGGCCGTGTAGGATATTGACATTGCACAGTTTGCTGTTTGCCATGCGGTTACACATTTGGTGGGCGGCCACCACCATTCCCGTGGCTTCTTTGTTCCCATGGTCTTTGTTCAGGGCATTTTATTGATGAAGGATGGTTGGGGCTGTTTGGTTCCTTTGAGTCTGAATGTCAGATTTGTTTTGTACAGAATGTGTATGACAAATAACAAAAAACTCGGGACGCATTCATCAATAAAGTAACCTGAAGAGGAAAAGTACATCCTAGTCGACGTTTTGTGCAAAGCTCTCCTTGAGGGAGGCCAGAGAGGTTGAGTGGATGAGAGTTGGAGACAGGACGTTATACACCATCGCGCCTGATGAGCTTTATACATTGTTTTTTGATTAACCGTTTTCCATAATCAACTTAGCGATGCGTTCCTCGGCTTAATTCTCACTTCAATAGGATTAGAATGATCAGGATTCACCCAGCGATGGTTTCCTCGGCTTAATTCTCACTTCAATAGGATTCATTTTCAATCGGATTGTGTTTGTTAAAGCAATGACACTATCACTTTTTTTGACACTCCACCCCGCGTATAGTTCAGACAAGGCAAATGTCAGCACGAAACTGTTTAGGCGACATTTATTTCCATATAACAGCGTTTTGTCATATTGTTTCCCCCGCGCTCGCTACACATCAAAAACACATTCCCAATATGCGCCAAAATATCACGTGCGTGCCACTGCGTACTCTTACGGCTGCGTACATTTGTATCAAATCGCCACAGGCACACGGTATAGAACACTGAAGAAGCGGCTTTAGAAAACATGATCACATACAAAACTAGCGTTGGAGCTGCGATTGTTAACCGGTGGTCGTAGCGTTTGTTGGTCCCCTTTGCAAGGAACTCTCTTTGGGTCCCCCTACGCCTCCTTGCCCCCCCCGGCATCATATCCTGACACCTGGGCCTCTCCGGTGTCTCCGGTGCAGTTGCACCGCCTGCACTCTCGATAGCTGCGCCACTGGCGGTGACCACGGACGTGCTTTGCGTCCAAATCTCGGGTGCAAGAGACCCCAGCGCTTGCCCAGACTGCGGGGTTTGCCGACGGTTTTATGCCTTGGCTGTCGACTGATAACAGTCGGGCGTGCTTGCCGGGGGTGGCGCGCGTCTCGCCGGCGAGCCTGACACTCTCGTTAATATATTGGCCGCTCGCGTTCGGCCGCAACGCGCACACACACACACGTGGCCGTCGCGAGCTGGGCGTTCAAATGTTGCTCTCGACTCGGCCACTCGGAGAGCACGAGTGTTTGAAAGTGAATGAAAAATGCCAACCCACTCGCCCTTCTCGTGCGACTGCTGGCTAAGTGGGTCCGCGACAGGAAGGCATCGTCAAACGCTATCCCCCTCCCCCCCCCCGCCTGCGATCCATCACGGCACGGGTTTGTGTGTTTACCAACTATCAGGCGCGTACAGCAATGTTAACGACTCGATTTGTGTGTGAACGGGGAACGTCTGCGAGCGTGGAAACGGGGCACTGGTGCGTGGTGGCTCGTGGGCGTCGTTTGAGAAGGACGTTGAAATATGTAAATTACGAGAATGGCCATCGCAACGAGAACTTTACTGCAGGCTGGAAACAAATAGATTTAGGAACACACAAGGGTGGTGTGCAGCATTGCATGTCCAAAACTGAACTTGGCCGTTTTTGTCGTTGGAAGGATAGCCACGTTTTCTCAACCCTTCGAGCAGGTGGTCTGGATAGGGCTGAGTGCTTCTGTACATGCAATGCTGAACATTTTTGAGGGCCTGGTTTCAATTGAAACCCGTAACTGAGTTTGGAGGGTTTGGGTTGGGGTGGATGCTGAAGAGACGGAGTTCTGATGGTTTCAGCATTTCGGGCTACTCCTGAAGCCTGCCACTCGCTCGCTCACTCAGCAACCCCGACAGGAACGAGTAAACGCTCCACCAGATGAAAGAAGGGTGGCTGCGAGGGGTAGGCAAGTAGACCTCCGTGGTCTGATTAACCGATTCCAGCATTGACTAGGACCCATATATATTCTTGGTTCTTTCGGTAAAGTCACGTAGAAGGGAAATAATAAAAATATAAAACAATAAAATTATCACGACGTTTCGACGGCAACACAAGCAATCATCATCAGGTGTGAAAACCACAAGAAGAAAATTTGAGAAAAAGTTTATTGTTGTGGTTTTCACACCTGATGATGATTGCTTGTGTTGCAGTCGAAACGTCGTGATAATTTTATTGTTTTATATTTTTATTATTTTATTGTTTCCCTTCTAGGTGACTTTACCGAAAGAACCAAGAATATGAATCCCTGTAGTCACGAAAGCTTTAAATCAAAGTTTAGGACCCATATCTTTAAGTGATGTTCCTTTGCCAGTAACATCGGGCAGTTCACCAGCATTGATTTCAGCAAGGCTGATGAGAGACCGTCGAAACCGATCCAGAGCTTGCTCGAATTGAACCAATGCTGCTGACGTTTTGCATTCCCAGGAGGCCGTGCGGCCGATGTGATGAGTAAGGAGTAGGTTCTTTATTTATTTAGGTGGAGCGATGAATACGTGAAGGAGTTACTTTGCTTATTTCCTATCCCAATTCCAGCGTGGTCGCTATGTCAGGACGCCCATGCCGAGTGGCTGTCCACGTGTTGGTCCTACGTTGGCCTGCGCCTGGTTGTATTGGGAGCTGCCGTGGTTGCGTTGTGCGTGCGGGGCGTGAGATGTGGGAGCTGTGACCGGATCTCGGTGGCCACCTCTCAGCCACCGTGCGTGGCGTGTGCACGTCCACACGCTCAAACACGACCCCGCGTCCTCACGCGTTCTAACTCTCCTTGATAAACGGGATCTCTTCCTTGACTTCACCGCCCACGACCAGGCAGTCCCTCTCCAGGTCTATCGACACCTGTGAACAGGTGGACAAACAGGTAAAGGTGCAGCCCTGCAATGTCTTGCTCACGCCACTTGCTGACAGAAGGCCCCTCCCACTCTCAAGGGGAGTGGTTCTCAGCCCGGGAGTACGCGGACCCCTGGGGGCACGTGAGGTTATTTATAAATGTGTGTGAAATTATATCTTCCGTGAGAGTCATTGTTGAATAGTCACTCATGAAAGTGTCAATATCAAAATAACATTTACGCCCATATGGCAACCTTGTACGATATAAAAGACCTTTCTAAACTCATTGATCGTAAACAATGTTGGTTTCCAAGAGTCACCAGCGAGCGATAACACAATACATCATGCGTGCAAGAACGTCTGTTGCTTTTTTTTATTCGCTTGCAATTATTAGCAGCTCCTTAGGGATACCTCACAACATGGGAACAATTGATTAAGGTATTGATGTTCATTATTCGTAAATGTATTTCTCAGAACCATGTTGGGTCAGGCAAGGGGGGGGGGGGCTACTCGGTTGAAACAATTCAACAAAACAAGTTTGAGAACCACTACTCTAGGGCTCCTGTTAAGGGGCATTTGGCCTACTCTTCCATGCTGGCCACACGTCTTGAAATAGGTGGGAGTACTCACACTTTACCCCCCACCTCCACCTGTTGTGTTCTCACACTGCTGTGCAACGGAACACACGCCCTTGTTACAGCTGCGCCTCGGGGAGATGGAATCGAACCGGCGATATCTGGATGCCAGTGGAGGTGGTTCTTGGGGGTGCAGCAGTGGGTGTGGGCACTTGCAGGGAGCGGTGGTGCAGTGCTTAGCGCGCGGCGCTACGAACCTGGCCACCCGAGTTCGATTCCCGCTCACGTTTAACACCTGTGACGATTAACTGGACCGGTCATGGGCCTCCTCTAGGTCGACTAAGCCTCAATTAAGTACCTAGTGCGGTGCATAAAAACATCGCCACTGGGGAGACAAAGGCGGCCGGGCCTTCATAGGTGCTCGCTAACAGCACTTGCCTCAACAGTCTGTTAAGGCTACACGGGGGATCTTTGTCTTTGTGGGTACCTGCAAGTCTCGCAGCGTCTCCAGGCCCAGTTGCAGGTCCGTCGAGTCGTCGTCGTCTGCGCGGACACATGGAGACCTCGTTAACAAATAGGGCATCCGTGGTGAAGGCGGTGTGAATTTATACCGCCTGTTGAATATTCCACGCAAGCGATTGCGACGGACGGGTTCGGGTTAATTTGCCAAACGCTCAATTGATGTTTTGAGCACAAATTAGAATTTTAAATGTATGTTTATTATGAATAAATTCTGCCTTGGATTGTTATCAACAGCAGCTGTCAGCGCCTCTATGTGCAATATATTCATAATTATGTTTTGTATATAAAATCAAATAAATACTCGCTGAGTCACAGAACTCGTTTTCAGGAGTGGAGCTGCTTTTGTTATATATGGCCAAAAGCTATTAAAGAAGAGGGGTTTTTTTGCATTGAGGATTACATCATCATGGTCGTCTTCATTATGATCAATCGACGACGTGAATTCATCATCAGTCCACAACATCACCATTATCCCACCAACCATCGCCATTATGCAATGCCACGCGACATCGCACCCTTTGCACCTGGATTAATTATCACTCGCAGCACTGCGATCGGTAGCCCACCATCCCTGGGCACGTGGTGGCTCCTTTGCCCGACCACCACCAGTCTCGCCCTCGGCCACCACCCTCTCGAAGCCACGATGAGCCCTTTCCCAAGCTCGCCTCATTTCCTTAACGGTCAACATGTTGTCTCCGATTCGCATTGTGCCTTCCGCCTCTGCGCCTCGCCATACCGCGCGTTTCTTAAACGTAATTCAGAGCTTGCGTACAACGTGCATTTGTTATTTATAGCGATCGCGCAGGAATATGGTTATCAGCCCGTCCCAGCTGCCTGACTCAAGGCGGTAAACGGAATCGTATGCATTGTAAATTGAGCGCTAGGGCTTAATGTCTCACTGAATATTTTCCAGCTTGCTGGGAGACTTGAGTAGGTGGCACGTGACTGGTAGCCACAGCCATAGCGAGAGGTATTCTCGACGTGGTTTGCTGGGCGTGGAATTATTTTACGTGGGTCGTTGACCCAGACAGATGCAACTGACATTAAGCCACGACTGTGATAATGAAAAACACACATTGTGGATGATGAATACAATGATGTGTTGAGATGCGGATCATCTTCATCATGGTAGTATTCACGATATTGAATGTCTTCATTATCATCACTTTATTGCAGTGGATCTCACCCGTTTGTGGTATAGAGGCAGCCCAATCAAGGTCACTTGTACCCACGCGCCCCCAGCCTCTGCAACCCACCCGCGTTACCAAGGCCACAAGACGTGGATCCCATGTTCACGCCTCTAGCCAACGCGGTGTTAGACACATGTTAGACACATGTTTCACGTTGTGGATTCCTGTGCGTGTGTATCTGCAACGTGACGCTACGAGATTTAACGCTGTGCGCATTTTTCGGAAATTATTTTCTTTTAATTTGTAAACGACGTTGTTGGCATTGGTGGTTAACTGTTGGAAATTTTGCGGGGAAATTGTCTGCGCATGTTTGTACTTGTTTGTACTTGTTTATCTGTTGATTCGGGTGCCCCCTTTGTGACCGACTGGGCCCCTATGCGTGGCATGACGCTGCCGCCCCCCTCTCCCTCCCCCACAGTAGTAACGTGGCGCGAGCGGGGAATGGTGGTCGGGAGCCGTTCAGCTCTGTCGGCTGTAGGGCTGTGGGAGCCCCTGGCGCGAGATGCCCTGTCAGAGTGGTGGCGCGTAATTGCTTCGGGGCTCGACTGACGGCTCCCCCGTTGGGCACGGTGTGGGGAGTGCATGGCGAGATGTGAAAATTGACTGCCTCCCAATCTCCGGCCTCTTCCCAAACAAATCGACATTCATCTTCTCGGTTCTTTCGGTAAAGTCACGTAGAAGGGAAATAATAAAAATAAAACATAATACAATAAAATTATCACGACGTTTCGGCCACAGCACAAGCAGCCGTCTTCAGGTGAAGAAACATAACTGTCGAGAAGACAGCGTTCCAATGAGACATTCGCACAATAATATTGAGAAAGCCACGTGAGGTCAGAGGCGGTGCCACGTCGTGCGGAGGGGGGGTGGAGGGGGAAGAAAATTTAAGAGTGAGAATTGCACGTGCGTCAGTGGCCCAATTTGTAGGGGGCAGTGGGGTGTGTGGAAGAAGGGAGAGACTAAAGGGGGAGCTGTAAATTAGGTGAGAGCGCTGCTCTCTGGGGTCTCGAGGGCTCGGGGGAACAGCGCTGCCTTCACACGTCTCGGTTGTCCGTGACACGACCCCGCGTCCGTGTCGCGCGTTCCGTGCTCGTCGACGAGGCTGGCGTTATTCACAACGACGTCTGCCTAACGTCGTCCAGCCCTTGACCGCCGCGAGGAGGCTGTGCGCACGCCTCACTCCAAGGCTGAGTTGGGGTGGCGGTCAAAGTGGTGGTGGGGGGGAGGGGGTGACGCAGGGCGGTGTGACGGCAGGGTAGGAGGTCGGTGTAGGGTCACAAGAGTGAGTGGGGTCTTGCAGGGAGGGGTGTTGGCAGAGTGGGGGCGCCACGGTGGCTAGATGTTAACTACCTCGCCTGGTATGCATGAGGTCGTGGGTTCAATCCCGACCCTGACGCCTGCTGCTGTATATCTCTCTCCTCGCGGTCGCATGGGTTTTTCTCCGGGTCCTCCGGTCTTTCTCTCCACGTTTAGAATAAAAGTCACAACGCGTTTAGAGCATCGGCTGCGATACATTTCCACGCGGCGTTCAGCCACTCTGTTGCGCTATCATTTGTGATTGCCAGGTCGCTTCCGAAAAAAAACCACAGCGACATAGCTCAGTGGGGCCTTACCTGGTAGAATAAAAAATAAACTTGTTTAGGTTTAATTTCGATTTAAAGCTTTCGTGACTGCAATGATTCATCTTCTTTGGTTCTTTCGGTAAAGTCACGTAGAATGAGAATAAAATAATAAATTGATAAAATAAAATAACACAATAATATTCTCACGACGTTTCGGCCACAACACAAGCGGCCTTCATCAGGTGAAGGGGACCAGACAGTCTCGCCCCCTTCACCTGATGAAGGCCGCTTGTGTTGTGGCCGAAACGTCGTGAGAATATTATTGTGTTATTTTATTTTATCAATTTATTATTTTATTCTCATTCTACGTGACTTTACCGAAAGAACCAAAGAAGAGTTGTTTAGGTTTAGTTTAAATATCTGTTCTGGTGTGGTTCAGAGCGTGGGGCGGTGGCGAGGGTGGGGTGGGGGGTGCGCGAGAAAGAGGACCCCACGCACCGATCACCCATGCGGAGCAGCGCAGCGTGCGGCCTCCCAGCTGCAGCAGTAGCCCCCCGATAAGCGCCGTGGCTCCCCCCGGCCGCGCGCTCCGCGGCCCCCCCCGCTCCTCCTCGCCCCAGTCCTGCAGCCTGGGGTGGAGAACCGTGGGCACGTGAGCGCGTCGACAGGTAGAGGGCCGGCTAGACGGGTCATCGGGCAGACAGGTAGGACAGCTGGCTAGACGGGTAATCAGACGGACAGGCAGACAGCCGGGTAGACAGCCGGGTAGACATAAACATATAGACGGGTAGACAGGCAGGTAGACAGGTAATCAGACGGACAAGTCGACAGCCGGGTAGAAATGTAATCAGATGGGACAGGTATACAGGCAGGTACAATCATATTTGTTTAACTGGTTGGCGGAAGCGCGAGAGACCAGGATAAAGGAGTCACATTTGCAAGAGTAACCTGGGTCACCAAAACGACAAAGGCAAAATTCGAATTAAATAAAGTCGAACAATGCAAGAAACAAGTGCTGGAACCCACCCGATCACGAGTTCCGTTGTGAATGCATTCCAACGGAACGCTTGCATTTTTTTACTTTACCTGCATGGCTGCGTCAACGCTTATTCGTCACGTGTACATTGCATTATTAAAAGTAATATTCATTGCAGCTCCGAGTCGCCGTCGTTTTGTGACGCGCAGACGAGCGAACGCAGTGACGACGTTTCGGCCAAATTACGCAGCAGCTGCAGCAGCAGCAGTAGCAGCAGTAGCAGCAGCAGCAAGAGTGGGCGGTCACGGCTGAAGGTCGATTGAAAGGCATTTTCTTTAAAGCGCTAAATTTGAGACTGGTGTCAGACCTGAGGCACGCAGCCTCTGTGCGTATTCATGAGATGAGAGCCGAGTTTTTGAATTGTAATTTCTTACCTCGGGGAAAAACGATGACACACGCATGCCACGTTTGCATCGAGACGTGCGTTTCCTTCCGGTCTGCAGTGCCTCCGTGCGTCTGCAAGGAGGCCGGATACACTGCCCTCTCTTGTCGCCTGATGAGGCTGATTGTAATTACCGGCGAAACGTGTGGTACTTGAATTGTAAATATTATTGTGGCTTTACTCTCCAACACAACGGTGTACTGAATTAGTAACTAATTGGCACGTTTTGTTTACGTGACAAACCTTACTGATTTGCTGCGTCAGGTGGTGGCGGGTTTTGACGACAAATTTACATTTACGCGATCTAACGCAAAACAACCTCTGTTACCGATTGTTCATCTTCGATTCTGTACGACTCCTCTTTTGCTCGCCTGCCTCCAGACCCATCTCTGGCTCCCTCTCCTTACGCAAAAGGCCCATCTCCCGCTGTCGTCGCTAAACAGGCGATGCCCTGCCACGTGTGGCCATTCGTTGTCTCAGCTACGAATGAGCGGCTTTGAAGGGGGCGGGGACGTTGCTTGGAACGTGCCCTGTTATATTTAAATTTCGATTTAAAGCTTTCGTAACTGCAAGGATTCATCTTCTTTAGCGCTCCAGCGCTGTCCTCGAGACAGTCTCGTCCCTTCACCTGATGAAGGCCACTTGTGTTGTGGCCGAAACGTCGTGATAATTTTATTGTGTTATTTTATTAATTTATTATTTTATTCTCATTCTACGTGACTTTACTGTTATATTTAGTTTGTTTTCGGCATTTGGGCAATGTCAGGTCACGCGGATAGCTGGGCTCCGTTGCATCGATCCGCGAAGACCTCTGCGGATGACCTCGTCTCAAGGCTCATTGGCAGTAGCATGCGCGGAACTCATGTGATGGATGTGATGGATCCAGGATAGGCGAGGGCAATCATAAGGTCTCGACAGGGGTAAGTGAGCGACGTCTGCTTGATCTGCTGTCAGTGGTGAGCTTCAGGGCCCTGTGAGCGTGGCTATATATTCGTCCAGGCGTGCGTCGTGCGGATTTGTAATAACGCTCCGATGCGCTTTCAGGCCGTGCCGGGTGTCGTACGGCACAGTGTCAGACGTTTCGCCGCGCGCGCCGAGAGCCACGCAGCTCGCAAACCTACGCGGTAGGAATTGGACAACTTTGTAAGTGCAGCTGCTCACTCAAGACGCTGTCATGAATAAGGGAGGCAGGGCGGGCATCTCGTGGTCGCAGGGGGCACGCGATGGCCTTTTTGTTTTGTTTTCAGAGGCAATGGGGCGAGAATGGAGGGCAGAGAGCCCCGAACAGGTCGGCGTGGTGGGGAAGGGCGCTTGACAGTGAGCGGAGAGAGGTCGGCAAAAAGAAATCTGACTCCTGCTCCTCCTGCTCCTCCTGCTTCTCCGTCGGGGTTCATCCAATTTAAAACCCCACCGAGGCTCTTCCATCCCGCGCCGTTTGACGTCGCGGGCAATTCCCTCCGAGTAAACGGTCACAGCCGATAAATTATTTCGCGTTTTTTTTTTCTCACTTCCGCGGGTGCTCTGTCATTATTTATTTATTTACTCGTTCAAATGACTTTTTTTTGTCATTTTGGCCTCTCGCGGAGCTGAAGCGAGCGCCCCGCGCTAGAGAGCACCGCAAACGGCGCGAGCGTCGCCCGCCGATTGCCGATCACCACTCACCGGAGCCGCTTGGTGCACGCACGGGAGACGAGGTTGGCGGCGCGCGTCGTGCACAGCGCGGCCGTCGCGTCCCCGCCGGCGCACTGCGAGCCGCAACACACGGCCGGGGACGGGGGGGGGCAAACGAAGCGGCGAACGGGCGGTTAACACGCGGTCGATACGCGGTCCATACGCGGTCGATGCGTGGTTGATACGCGTTGCTTCCAAAGCACTCTCTTCCTATCCCCAACTGCTGATGTTTCGCCCCCCCCCCACACCCCCACACATCCCCCCCCCACACGCAACCCACTGTAGCGTAGCTGCCCCGTGCGCAGGCGGTGCAACTGCACCGGTGCTCGTGAGCCGCCGGAGAGGCCCAGGTGCCAAGCGACGACTCAGCGGCCCCACCATGCAAGCTGCGCTGTGCCGTTATCACGCCCGTCGTTACAACAACAACAATAATAATGATACAGTATTATCACTGATGTAATTGATGTATCGAGGAAAGCCTCGCTGAATAAAAGGCACGCCATGCGAGAGAGGATGGCGCTCAAAGTATAGAGCATGCATCGTGCACCCCGGAGCGCTCGTACGGGATTGTCTCGAGGTCGCCCTGACCTTGTTAATGCCGCGGTAATCCAGGGACATTTTAGAGGCAATTTTGACCGCCAATAGTTGCCGCGCCAACTTGTCTTTTGTTTTCTAAACAAAACTCCCCAACTGTACCATTGGCGTACCAAGTTGCCATCGTTGCCGATTAATATTGCAGACAACGATTGCCAGAAAATTGCCCTGACGTATCGCACGGCTCTACCCTCTGCGCTCTGGTCAACGAGCAGGGTCTACAGAACCCTCGTCCGCTCGAGGCGTCACGGGATGAAAACAAATCCACTGCCAGAGGGCAGTGCCATCACCCTCCATGCGAGAGAAAAGAAGCAGATGTCAAAGAGCTACGGCTCAGATCCCTTCACCTGACCTCTGGTCGACGCTGTAGAGGGCAGCAATACATTCCCACCTGCTCTGCCACGTGAGAGCATTTGTTCGTTGATTCATACCGCGCCACCCATGCCGTATGTCTGCAGTCGCCCTGCCGCAGGGGAACCCTCAGTGGCAGGTGCCTCTTTGTGCCACGAGGTGTACGTGGCATTGGCCGGCTTTATGTGTTCAGTTTTTGTCTCCCCCCCCCCGCACCTCGGATTAGCATGGTAGGTGGGACAGAAGTTCAACATACATACAAGTGAGCGTTCATCTGCCACTAGGTGGGGGGGGGGGGGGGGGGGGTGGAGGCGATGTTGCTACGCGACTACCCACTTCAGTAATTTGCGATGTCATTCATCAAATGTGGATCGTGTTTCCGGCACGCGTGGCCTACACCGAATTTGTAACGGCCGCTGCGAGTGTTCAATAGTACAACATTCAGGCAGTGCTTAGTTTTGGAGGGGCTGATGGTAAGTCTCCACCTCTTAGTGACAAGCTCCAGGTTCAGCAGCAGCACCTCCAACTCCTCCTCTGAGTGAGCAGCAATTACCAGATCATCGTGGGACAAAGTGGGGATGACCCACTTTGTCCCACGATGTTTTCCAGGCTGAGGGATCTCCCCTCCCCCAGGACCTCACAGAAATGCTCAGCAAATCTGCAAACCTGTTCCTGGGGGTCGGAGATTGGATCACCTCTCTTTACCCTAATGATGGTAATAGGCTTGGCGCTGCAGGTTACTTTCCTGATGGAATTAAAGAGCGATTTGTGATCGCGGGCCATTGAGGCAGACTCCATCTCCTCAGCAACCCGCGACCACCAACCATCCTTGCAGCGCCTCACGGCTCTCCGAACCTCCGAGCAAAGGCTGCGGTAAGCCTCCTCATTCTCTGACGTGGGATGCTATAGACGATGAGAGTGGACCTGTCGCTTTTTCTCAACCATCCTGAACACCTCCTCTGTCAGCCAGGGTCTCTGAGGAGGTCTGGACCATGTACCCAAAGCAGCCATCGCAGCTGCATGAGCCACAGTCCTAAACCTCGCCCATTTTCCCTCGACATCAGGAGTAGTGGGGGACGATTCCAACTCCAGCCGCAAGCGATGATGAAATTCTCGCTTGTAACTTTCATCAGCTAGCTGTGGCCTTGCCACTATGGGTTTGAATGGGGTCCTGGGTGCACACCCACCACCAGAGTGGAAGAATGGCAGGCGCATCTTACAGATGACAAGTCGATGATCAGTGGGCAGATCAGTTCCACGGTAGGTCCTGGTGTCAAGGGCATGGGCCCGCATCCACTGTTCCGTCACTATGTAGTCCAGCAGATGTTCTTGCTTGGACCCGGCATGCATCCATGATGTTGTGTGGATGCGCCAATGCTGGAACAGCGTGTTGGTAATTACAAGCCCATGGGCTGCACACACATCTAGCAGCCTCCTACCGTTTTGCCCATGTCTTCCAATCACTCCAGACCAGGTGCTAGCATCATGACCAACTCGGGCATTAAAGTCACCCAAAAAGATTACTCTATCCCGAGGGGCCACTTTAGCCAGCACCTGTGACAGGAGGTCATAGAAGGCATCTGACTCATCGGCCTTTCCTGCATCCCTCCATGGATGTTCGTCTTCCGTGGGGGTTAAGTAACCACGACCACCACTCCTCGCCACGCTCCCACGCCCCCTTCATTATTTTGTTCAGTAGAAGAGCCACTCTCTGTTGTGTGGCAGTCTTCTCCCCCGAGTAGAGGACTGTCCACCCCTCATGGTGGCAGGAGCCAGAGCCGGTCCACCGGACCTCCTGAATACCTCAGAGATCCAGGCGGTACCGGTCCAGCTCCCGACAGAGGAGTGCCAGCCTCTCCTCCGCAGTGAGCGTTCGAACATTCTGCGTGGCCATCCGAAGTGGCTTTTTGTTGTTTCTGAAGGAGCCGCGAGGGAAAGGATTCAATCTCCCGGCTCTGCCAAATGGGGTTTGGCCAGGAGACGCCATAGACGCCTGTCTCCCCGAGACCTCCGGCACAAGCTTAATAAGTTTTTTACATCGTAGTTTAGTGGTAGTTAATTGAAGGTGGAGGGGTTGCCAGCCCCTCGCACCCATCCAGAGCCCCCTTTTGGCCGCTGTGGTGGTTACAAACGCCATGAAGGGAAAGGCCAATCTAAATTGGCCCTCCCCCCATGGCACTGCCCACCACAGCGTTGCCGTCCGGCACCACGAGGAGATAGGGAGTTGTTTTTGCCGGACTACTCACACACCCACTCACCCTCACACACTCACTCATACACTCACACACTCACTCACTCACCCACGCACTCACTCACACACTCACTCACACACACACTCACACACTCACTCACTCACACACACACTCACTTACACACTCACTCACACACTCACTCGCACACGCACTCACTCACACACTCACTCACACACTCGCAGTTACATTATTAACAAGGGCGGCCGCGCCAGCAACAAACGCACGGACCACGATCCCCACCCCCCCCCCCCCCCCCCCCCCGGATCGTCACCTTGCAGCGCACGCGGAGCGAGTCGTGCGCGGGCGCTCCCCCTCCTCCTTCTTCGCGCGTGGCCGCCTCTTCCCTCTCCTCGCGGGACGATTGGCTCTCCAGCACGGGCGACAGGGGAACGGCCGTAGCGGCCTTCGTCTCGACCACCAGGGACAGCGTCTCCAGCGTCGGCACGACGGCTTTCGGGAGCAGGGCGATGGTTTCGTGGACCGCGGTGAGGATTTCCAGAGACGGGGCCCCGATGGTCTCGGAGGTCGGAGTGAGGGTCTCGGGGGTCGGAGTCGGGGTAGGGGTCGGAGAAGGGGTCCCGGAGTTGGGCGCTTGGGTGTGCTGGGTCGAGGCGAGCTGAGCGGAGGTGAGCTGAGCGGGCTCCGTGGTGGAAGAGGCGGTGAGCGGAGCGTGCGGGTCAGATCGCAGCTTGGAGAGGTGAGTTTCCAGCAGGCGCTTTTGGAGCGAGTAAGGAGGTTGCTGATCGGCGCGCGGTAGGGGAGAAACAAGAAGCGCGGTTAGGGTCGTTACATGGCAGCCCTCTTCACTCATTTTTCAGAGAGAGGCCACTCTCGTTTGATAGGACGTCAGTGTGAGAGCCGCCGCGCATTTGAAACCATTGGGTGTTTGACAGCGGCACGATGATTGGGGAGTGTTTTCACTCTTTGTGTAGTGTCGGGGGCCGCACTGAAGGCCACCAGGGACCACCAGTGGCCCGTGTGCCTTGGAATGAAGAACACCGATTTATGACGACAAGATAGACGCAGCAGCAGCAGCAGGTAACGATGCAGCCCTGGAATTGCTCATTCCTGCACCTTGCTCGTTCCTGCACCTTGCTCGTTCCTTGTGGCGGAAGAACCTCCACGAGAGGGAGCTCCAGAGAGCCCCCATCGATGGAACTTTGGCCTACTCTTCCAAACTCGCCGGACGTCTCGGAAGAGGTGGGAGTTACCCACACTTTACCCCACCACCAACACGCGCCCTGCCGACCGCCTTCACTGCGGTGTACAGAGGCAGGGTTATTCTCGACACCAGAGGGGGTGCCCATCCAATTATTTGAGATGGTGGCGCTCTGGGACGCCCCGGCGTCTCGGGCATAGGAGTGCGCGATTTCAATAAGGACCCTTTGTCATAGTAAAGACACACTGCAATTATATTCATAGACATAAAACGAAGTTCTGTTTATATTTTCCCGATAAAAAAAAAAAAAACTAATTGCACAAACAACGAGCAATGCGATCTTCGGGACCTGTTTTTCTTTTCTTCTCAAAAGTATTTGATGATCAAGACAATTCGAGTTACACACAGAGAATGTGACAGGAGGTGCGATCGGACCTTTTTTTAGCGTCTGCACTTACGCCAGAAAGCGTTTTCATGATTCAAGGCGCAATGAGTTAATTACCATCGCTGGTCAGCTTCCCACCACTCTCCCCTGCACTCCCAAGCACTCCCCATCACTCCCCACCACGCCCCGTCACTCCGCACCACTCCCCGCCACTCCCAAGCACTCCCAAGCACTCCCCACCGCACCAGTCAAAGGGACACCAATGGAAGGGATCATTGCGTCGTCCCCTTTTGCAGAGTGCGCGGCGGTCACGCGCACGTGGCGGAGGAGGAGGCTCGAGGTCGCGCGACATCCACGAGCGCTCGGGGCTACTGCCTTTGTTGACGTTTTACGCTTCAGCGGCGGCATTGATTAATCGATCCCTACCATCGTTACAAAGACAGAATCCACCCGTTATAGCCTTAACAGGCTGTTGGGGCAAGTGCTGTTAGCGAGCAGCTATGAAGACCGGAACGGCACACGAGGGGGTGGGTGGCCAGCACCACGCCCGGCCGCCTTTGTCTCCCTAGTGGCGATGCTCACACATGGCACCAGGTACTCGTTTTTAGGCTGAGTCGACCTAGGGGAGGCCCAGGACTGGTTCAAATAATCGTTGCTCGCATTGGCCGCGAGCGGGAATCGAACCCGGGTCGCCGGGTTCGTAGCGCTGCGCGCTAACCACTACACCACCGCTCCCCACTCACGCACACACGCACACGCACGCACGGCCGGGGTCATCCGCAGGGGTCCCGTGAGATCCCTCTGCGTTGGAGCTAATAATCCTCGGGCTGAGCCTCACACAACAAGTGCTTAACATCCAGCTCGTCGGAGCCGTCGGTCAAACGTCTCTCAGTGGGAGGTCGCTCCCTCTCCTCTGCTGTACCCCGCGGGGTCTGGAACTCTCTCGCCACAGCTCCTGCGTGCTTCCGACTCCTTGCTCCTCTTGGAAGCCACAACGCTGCGTCGTCTCCTTCTGTCGTGCGCGGTGTCCTGCGAAGTGAGACTGTCTCCCCTGTGGATGGTCTAAGGGCCCCCCCTTCGAAATTTGTGAACTTTCGCCGCCGATAAGACATCGTCAGTGTTGAGGGCCGCCACATTTGTAACCATTGGGGGGTGTGACAGCGGCACGATGATGATGATGATGTGGGGGTGTTGTCACGTGTTGTGTATTGTCAGGGGCTGCACGTCAGGGCCACCAGTGACCCGCGAGCCTTACAATGAAGAACGTTGATCTACAGACCCAGTCGGTGGCTGTCGTGTCTACACAACGCCGAGTGTCTGCCAACTGATTTTCTCCCAAAAAAATGAAACCTCCACAAATTCGTCAATAACACCGTTTGTGTTCCTTAAATATAAATAATTATATAACGAGCGACGTTTCGGGCAATGGTCATTCACAGCATATAGAGAGGCCAGAGCGTTAGAGTCTATGTGCTGTTAAGAAGGGGTCGTCGCCCGAGATGTCTCCTATTGTGTTAGCGTCCGTTTCAGGACACACGGCTGTGGTGTTGTTATTGACGAACGTGTGGATCTTGTTGTTGTTGTTGTTGTTTGTGCACCATTGCCAACGCAGCTGCGGCATCATCGCCAAACTGATGCGTCTGATTCCACCAGTGGTCTCAGAATGGCGACATTGGGGACGGCGTGTGTCTGAGAAGTGTCTACAGTGAGCGCACGTTGTTGTTGTTGTTGTTGTTTAACACGTAAGGCTTTTGCGACCAATATCATACATTATAGACTTTTTTTTATTAGATCAACAGCCAGAATCTGGCTATCGCCTGATGAAGCTGGTTGTAATTATTGGCGAAACGCCGTACTCAGATTGTAAATGTTGTGGCTTGGCTCTCCAGCACACCGGTGTGCTGTACTAGTGACGAATTGGCCACGTTCTGTTGACGTGACAACCCTTACTAGTTGGCTGTGTCGGGTGGTGGCGGGTTTTAACGACAAACCTTTTATAAATGTACGCGATCTAACCCAAAAAAAACTCCATTATGAACGCACGTTGTATAAACGTCACTTTGCGGCAGCTCTCACGTTTTTATTTTGCTCTACGGTTTGCTAAGCACAGTGCAACAGACGGCACCGCTGAAGGTGGAATAGAGAATGGCGATTAGCGCGTCTGTTGAATCGACCAAGGTTGTTATTGTTAGAGCTCGGGGAAGAGACAACGACGATGATGATGATGGTGGTGGTGGTGGTGGCAGGGGGGAATTATGCCAAAGCGGAGCGGTGCGAGGGAAGAAGCAGAAAGGGAAGTAAAGTGACATGCAGTGTGGTGAGTGGGTGAGTGCATTAGTGAGTGGGTGAGTGGGTTGGTGAGTTGGTTAGTGAGTGGTGTTGTGACCCGCGGTGTGGTGGTTGAACACAATGTAGAAGAAGCGATCAGTCTTTGCAGACCGAGTCCTCACCACGTGTGGATCAATCAACGAGTGAAGTTCATTGGAATGGTTACCATGGTAGTAGTAGTAGCGATAGAAGAGTGGTAAGGAGGTGGCTGACCGCCGGTAAGTGAGCGAGTGACGTCGATCACCGTGACTGCTTCGCATTGAATTCTACCCCAGCGCAGGATTCCAACTTTTGTGTCCTTCCAAATGTGTGCTTTGTATAGTAGTGGAGTAATAACATACATGGATAGACTGGCCCCGGACATGTGAATGTAGAGTTTCCTCCACTAGCTCAGGAGAAGCTCTGGTTCCTCATTCCAAAGGAAACCATTTCACGCTGAACGGAGCTGTTCCCCATGTGCGGTCGCACAGTAAGGAACGACAAAGACAAAGGTCCCCCGTATAGCTTGACAGGCTGCTTGGGGCAAGTTCTGTTAATGGGCACCGATGAAGGCCAAAATGGCACCCGACGGTTAATGTGGCCAATACCCCCCCTAATCGGCCACCTTTGTCTCCCCAGTGCTGATGTTTACACACCGCACCAGGTCGTCATTTAAAGCTGAGTTGAAATAGGGGAGGCCCAGGACAAGTAAATATATTGCGTCATCGATGTTAGCCGTGAGCGTCACCGCTCCCCCACGGGGAATACACCCAAACATTTTGAGCTGATTTAGAACACGGAGCGTGTATCAAAAACGGAATTGTTATTATTTCACTGTGAAATGTGAACTCAATATATTCATCAGATGGCATCCATTGTGTCACTGTCGGGTGTGCAGAATAATCTCGCTCGAAGTAATTACCCTTGAATCTCAATTGGCTGCCCACGAGTGCAGTACATTACAGACTGTGTGTGTGTGAGTGTGTAGCTGGTAGAGCGGTGGCGCAGCGGTTAGCGCACTGCGTTACGAACCCGGCGACCCGAGTGCGGTTCACGCTCACGGCCGGCACCAATGACCATTATCTGAACCGGCCCTGAGGCTTCCCGAGTTCGACTCAGCTTCAAACGAGTACCTGGTGCGATGTGTAAACATCGCCACTGGGGAGACAAAGGCGGCCGGGCATCGTGCTGGCTATTCACCCCCTCGTGTGCCGTGCCGGCGGCTTTCATAGGTGTCACTCTCTAACAGCGCTTGCCCCAACAGTCTGTTACAAAAAAGCCCTTTATTATGGATAATGTTGGTCGTAACAGCCTACGTGTTAAACAGTCTGTTACACGCTGTACGGGTGATCTTTGTCGTTGCAGCTGGCAGAAGGATGGAAGCAAACGACGGCGAGGTGTGGCGGTGCATCGCTGACATAACAATTCTCGCAATTTCTAGGCCGCTTGCTTGAAAGGCTCGGCGATTGAAAGTCCCTTAACACAGAATCGCATCTTATCACTTTGGAAGGGCACCCCCAGTGGCAGCTGTCTCTGTGCGGCGCAGGGCGACCCGGCACGAGGCCGATAGGCGATGGTTGCTATTTGTGTAATCCCAGTCAGGTGAATGTGAATTGCCATTGTTGTTATTTAGCAAACTTGCACAATGACGCTGACACTCGTTTTGCATTACTTCGTGGGGCGATTCTTGAACGTCCATCGCGGTTTAATACCACGCCACAGTATTAACTAGGTCGGCCCACGGACGTTATTATCCAATAGGCCACAGCGGGGACTGTGCCTAGAGACTACGAAAACTAAAAGGGCCTACGGGGGGAAAAAAAGAGTTAACCACGTTTTGTGTGATGAAAAATGCAACCAAGATATCCTCTTGAATTAATGCATTTAT